GGCACGGTGCGCCAGTGTATTTTGGGGGGGGGGGGGGATGTGTTTTGGTGGGGGACAGCAAATCAGGGAGGGGTGTGTGTGGACAGGCTGCAATGCTTGGCCCAACCAGCCCCGCCTGCATGGTGAACCCCTCGCCAGGGGTTGCCGGCCTGCCTGCAAGGCACCACCGCCGCTGTCCACTGCTGCCGACACGCATCAATTCCCCCCCCGCGACTGACCCAGCCATCTGCCAGGCTCAGGGGTACGGCGCACCAATGATGCGGGGGTCGAGCATGCGGCTGGTGGAGTCCAGGGGGTCCACCGCAGGGTAGATGCCCAGCTCCGCAATAGAGCGGCTCAGCACCGTGGTGGCGTCCAGATGGGCAAAGGTGGTGGCGGGGGCGGGGTCCGTGAGGTCGTCCGCGGGCACGTAGACGGCCTGCACACTGGTGATGGAGCCCTTGGTGGTGGTGGTGATGCGCTCCTGCAGGCCACCCAGGTCAGTGGCCAGCGTGGGCTGGTAGCCCACAGCGGAGGGGATGCGGCCCAGCAGCGCCGACACCTCGCTGTTGGCCTGCGTGAAGCGGAAGATGTTGTCCACAAACAGCAGCACGTCCTGGCCCTCCACGTCACGGAAGTACTCCGCCACGGTCAGGCCCGTCAGGGCCACGCGCGCGCGCGCCCCTGGGGGCTCGTTCATCTGGCCGTACACCAGCGTGCACTTGGACTGCCCGCGCTCATCGCCCAGCTTGATGACACCTTGAAGGGCAGCGTGTGTCAGAGAGAGAGAGAGAGAGAGGGGAAACGATGGGGTTCATGAGCAGAATCACTAAGGGGATGGGGGAACCAGCACAAGAATTGGGACGCAAATCAAGTAAGCAATTTCTCAAGCAGAGCAGGTGCAATCAGTGGGTGTGCTGTCACCGACTTTGGTGAGCAGCGCCTCGGCTGACCCAAGCTCACCCAGCTAGCGCAGCCTCGTGTGGCCCCCCGCACTCCCCCGCCCATCAACCCCAGCACCCACCGGACTCGATCATCTCGCGGTAGAGGTCGTTGCCCTCACGAGTGCGCTCACCCACACCCGCAAACACGGAGAAACCACCTTGACGGGTGGAGGTGGGGGATGAGGCGGGCAGGGGGCAGTGCGTTAACGCTGTGGCACGGTGCTGGGGGCATGGCGCCCAGGCTCGCCAGGGTCGCATGCCCATCGAGAAGCTTGCGAGCCACCTGCCATCCACACTGCATGCCACGCCTATGGCAAACTGAAGCCCCCTCACTCACCGTGCGCCTTGGCGACGTTGTTGATGAGCTCCATGATGAGCACGGTCTTGCCCACGCCTGCGCCGCCAAACAGGCCGATCTTGCCGCCCCTCTGGTAGGGGGCCAGCAGGTCCACCACCTTGATGCCCGTCACCAGGATCTCCTGGTCGGTGCTCTGCTCCACAAACTCGGGCGCCTCACGGTGGATGGACCACAGATCACTTGACTCTGGTTCAGAGAATGTAACGGAGTGGATTCCATTGCAATAAAACATGCGTCAAGCGTGGCGTGCGAAGGTGCGTGCGCGTGCACACTCTGTGCACTAATTTCAAGTAAATTCAAGGTGGTGATTGACAGGGCAAGCACACGCCCCCCGGGGAGGGGTGTAATTTGTCCATACACAGCATGTGCTGCACCACAGCGTGTGCATCAAACAAGCAAGACACACGCCACTGCTCACCGACGGGGCCGCACTCGTCCACGGGCTCGCCAATGACGTTGATGATACGGCCCAGGGTGCCGCGGCCCACGGGCACCTACACAAGTGTGGGCAAGGAGCGCAGCCAGGACAGGCTATGGTCAAGGGCCCAACACAGCCTGCAGGGGCAGCACGCGACTTGGTCCCTGCTGTCTGCCGGCTTGCCTGTCCACCAGGGCAGCGCAGCTGTCCGCACTTGCGCCGGCATCAACACTGCCAGCGCGCAGCCAGCTGCGCGGCTCCCCATCGCCGCCCTGCAGGCATCTTGCCGCACCTTGATGGGCGCCCCGGTGTCGACGACGCGCTGCCCCCGCACGAGGCCGTCCGTCATGTCCATGGCAATGCAGCGGATGTTGTTATCTCCCAGGTGCTGCGCCACCTCCAACACGAGGCGGATGTTGTGGTCCTGCACCTCCAGCGCGGACATGATGGCCGGCAGCTCGCCCTCAAACCGCACGTCCACCACAGGGCCAATGACCTGGTTCACGTAGCCCACTACAGGGAGGGGAGTGGCGAGGAAGGGCAATCGTTGCGCTTGCGCACTGCACTGCATCACACTGCGGCGGGGGAGGGCCCGGCCAGCCAGGCCTGCAGGATACCAGAGGCCTGCCGTGCTGCAGCCTCAACACCCTCAGCGGCACTCGTCGTGTGTACAGCGCTTTTTGAGCCCGCCTTCGCAAGCCGACAGCAAATGGGGGGTCGTCCGCTGATCTGATCGTGGAATGCAACCCTCTCTGACATGCATCCGAGAAGCTGGCTGGCTCCACACCTGTAGGAGCCCCCGCAGCGTAGGCCCTCAGCTGCTGCACGGCAGCAAACGCGCTGCCATTCCTGCCCTGGCGCACAGCGCCTACCGCCGCCTTGAGCATGATGTTGAGAGTAAAAATGTAGCAATTTTTGACCGCGAGACGCTATCAGCTAGACCACCGCGCAGACGCCCAAGGTCCCAGATCAGCACTGGGGCTCCGCAGCGAAACCTGACCGAACGAGCTACTCGCTCAGCCTGTGTCGTTTCGGTGACACAGAGACGTTGTTGATCGGGACTCACCCATGTGCAGCCGACCGTGCAGGCTCAGCGGCAGTACTGTAGTTTCACAGGTGTCGGTTTTTCTCAGGGATGGTGTGGTTGCAGTGACGCAAACGGCGGTGCATATTACACACGCAAACCCTGATGTCGCTTAGTCGAATAGAAGTACACTTTGAAGTCGTAGTCGGCCGTCACAGGGGGGGGCGTGAAGTGGCAAGTATGCAGCAACCAGCAGATTCCCTGGAGTGCGTGGGAACCGTGGCTTTGTGTTTCGCAAGCAAGTCGGGTATCCCTGCCCGTACCAATTCCACCGAGACTTGTATCACAAATCACCTGAGCGTGACGGCGAGTCAATCAGAGCGGCAGAAGAGGCTCGAGCTTGGGTTACAGAAAAAAGCGGCGAAGGGTGCAGGTGCACAGTGCGTGCTCATGCGTGTGCAGGGGAGATCCTCGCAACGGTAAGGCAAAAGAGCCCCAACAGCCTGTGCGTATTGGTGACAGGTGGCTGGTGGAGGCAGGAATCAAAGCTGATGGTGCTCGGCAATGTCCTGCTGACTGGCTGCTGGGCTTCGCCCTGCATGCCATGTCACGCAGGGTGAGTCTCGAAGGGCGCATGCGCACACCCACTTGGACCGCCCATGTGCCAGCCCTGACCTCCACTACTGTCTACTCCTTCGCGGGTGGCATGCCAATGGCCTCGCGAGCAGCGTGCATCTCGGGCGCCAGGCGCCCGTCGGCCAGGCGCACCACGAAGGACTCCTGCTCGCAGGCATTGTTGTCATTCCCTTCGCCGCTGCCGCCAGCAGCTACTGGCCACCGCAGGACGCAGACCTCTATGAGTGGGGGCTTGCCCGCCCTGGGAACCACCTCGACCCGCCGCGTCACCACCAGGCCATGGCGCACAGCAGCCGCAGCCACACGGTCGCGCCTCCGCTGCCCCTGGACGCCCATGACCACCACGAAACGCCCGCCAGGCGCAAGAATGCGCGCCGCTGCCGCGATGTAGTCTTCCACGCCGCCACGTGTCTCGAGGTTGCAAGGCTCCTTCTGCGGGCGCCGGCCAACGCCGCCATCCCCGAGGCCAATATAGGGTGGCGTGCCCGTGATGATGTCAAAGCCATTGGATGGAGCGATGCCTGGCGGCAGGGTGCTGCGCAGGTCTCCTTGGATCACATTGATGCGGTGGCTGGCTGATCCAGTATTGTAGCGCACGCTGCGGCGTGCAAGGCCTACGCTCACAGCCTGCAGCGGCAGGGTGGACCAGCGAGGCGAGGTTACCCGGGGCATATAACATTGCAGGTGGTGGGCTGTGGGGTACACAACAGCACAACCCAGCCTGCTGGATGGACGAGCAGTGTTTGGAACGTGAAAAAATGTGTGTCGGTGCAGGTGTAACATGGAACAAAGCAGTGGCCCAGGGCGTTCAAGTGGTGTTCGGATTCGCATGCGAGCCGCACACTACCCAGCCTGCCCTGCAGCCCGCGCACCTGTGCCTCGACCCCAACTGCCGTGGCCCCCGGGAGCGCCCAGGCGACCATCAAGAGCACCGAACCGCAGCCGCAGCCCAGATCTGCATAGTGCTCGATGGGGCGTCCTAGTTTGCGTGCCTCTTGCAGCGCTACCACTGCTGTGAGGTGGTCATCCAGGCTGCGGGGGCGGGGGAGGCAAGCATGGGTTATGGCTGCAAATTTTTGAAGGGTGACACACCTGCACAAAGTGCAAGGCCTGGCATTCCAGTCCAGGCCTTGAACAAAGTGCAAGGCCTGACATTGGTCAAGCATGCAACTCCCACTGTGCTGTTGGGGGTGCCCGTGCAACAAACAATTGGTCAGAGCCGAAAACCCCCTTGCTATATCCGACCGCCGTCACAGAGTCTCAACTGCCCACCTCCAGCGGTGCCCATTCTTGAGCTGGAATATGCGCCAGTCTCCCGAGAGGAAGCTGAGGTCCTCCCCCTCACGGGGCTCAAGCTCTGGGTCACCTTGAGGCCCCGCGGGTGGCGGGCCAGGCGCAACCCACCCGGGGGGCCGCACATGGCGGGCTGGCGGCCATGTTTCGCAGGTTTGGGAAGAGGTTGAGACGCACAAATAGATGCCCTAGCGTGCGCTGTGATTACTTAGCCAGCAACTGCTGCAATGCCAGGCAAGGCCCAGAAAGTTGAAGAGGGCGACGGCAAACCCTCTGGAAAACCTGTACGCCAACCATTCACCTTTCTCCTCTGGTTTAAGGCGAACTCCCGGGATCCGGCTGCTTGCTGTCAACGTCTTCGTCGTGCTGCTGCATACCGCACCCGAACGTCTCCACAGGCCCGCCCTGGACGCGGCCAGCCCGCACACAGGAGCCACAAAGCCCGGAGCCTGCGACATGCACAGTTGTGGCGGCGGCCTGCCCCTGCACGAGGGCAAAATCATCCAGGCGTTGGGTGTGGTTTTGGTGACACGGCCTGATCAGCCTTAAGTAGGCAACACCATCTACCTGCTCGCGCTGCACGTCCTGCACACACTGCTGCTCGTGCTGCAGCTGCTGCCGCCAGGTGCCGATTGCGGTGCGTGCTGCTGCACCTGCTGCAGTGCGAGGCTCGGAAACAATTGCATGAAACTGCCCGACAATGCTTTGCGATACTGTAGCGGAGTTTCGCCACGGAAGGATTTATAGGGAAAGCGTCGGTGTCCGAGTCGGTGAGGCGATAGAGACTTTGCTTTAGGGTCCAGCTGAGCTCGCGGGTGCGCGTATGGATAGGTTTCAATGGGCAATCATGAAGCATCATAGAGGCACAAAGCATGCGCACAATGTTGCGCGGTCAAAACCCACAGGCCACTGTAGAGGCACATCCACACCAGCAGCTGCCCTATTAGCTCTGGGGACCGCAGCAGAGCTTGCACGTGTGCACTGCCATCAATCAACGATCATGAGACGCTGACGGTCGACCGATTTACGTTGCTTGACAGGGACACAGCAGGAGTTCAACGAGCAGTGCCACAGCCTCGGCGTTTGGGCTCTCCCACAACTGGGCCGGCTGTGTTGACCGGAGGTCAACCGAGCCGGCGCACCATCAATGTGCGCTGCCAATGCGTTTTCCTTCAACGGACCACTCTGCAATTACACTGGAAAATGGCAGCAAGTGGTGATGGGGACGAGAGCTGCGCGATGTCAGAAATTCTCCTCCTCAGTACCAAAATGGGGCCAGCCTGTGTGGACCAGAGGCAAGCTTGTGCCACTTGAGAGGACTCTGAATCACCTGATGAATTTGGGTCTTGCTTGGCGATGAGAAGTGCTTCCGCTGTTGTTGCCACCGTCGCGGCATTATTAGCACGACACTTGTTGAAAGCCGGCGCAGTATGGGTCAGCTGTACGTCTCATGGTTTAGTGTAGCACGGCAAGAGTGTACAGTACTACTAAGGGATCGACGGCGCGTTACCCTGGACGACTGCTGCTTTGTGCGCTTCAATTGGAAGGAGGCTTGCTACTCAATCCTGCCAAGCACTGCTTGGCGCGCCTGGCAGGCGCGCGGCCTGTCACTGAATCCCAACTTGGCAGCATCCGCTTGCTCCTCTGGCCTTTGAGGTTGGGAGTTTTCCCCCCGTAGGGGGCCAGGGGGTTCCCCAGTCCACAGGAGTTTCTCTTGCTGCTGGCACAGCGTAGTGTACAGCCATGTCATGCAGTGTAAGGTGGCGGCCGTGTGAGGGCAGGGCAAGTCGGAAGTCGCCAATCCTGTTTGTGAACGATAGAGCGACGCCTTATCATATCAGACAGCCATGTTGGAACGGATTGCAGAGCTTCCTGGATCCTTGGGGTTTGAGGATTCGCTCTTTCACAGCCAAGTGGACCACAGTATCCATAAAAGCCTCGCGCTCTGTTCGCACCGCCAAATTGCTGTACAGTACCAGAAACGGTTTCCAGTATGATTGGGCATGTTTTGATTATTCAAGTACAGTAAATCTCATCCATTACAACGTGCCCAATCTAAAACCTTTGGAATCTCTTATGCGCACAGCACCCTGATAGACATGTGCTCTCAAAAGGTATTCGACACTTGAAACCCACCCCCTTGCTTGAAACTGCTCACAGATCGAGCCCATGTGCTGGCTGGCCCGTGTACGTTGTGTTGTCATCCAGTGTGAAGTTATCATACCGGGCATTGACTGCTCCCGTTGACCAACCATTCAGTCGGTGGCCTCACACTCTACGGTACGGTAGCCTGAGAGCAGGCGGTGCTGCACATGACGCCGCCATTTTTTGAGCTGAGCTGTACACAGTACAGTTGCGACTGGTTTTGACAAGTCTGCCCTGGTGCTCGCGTTGCCTTTTCTGGTCACTGCCTCAGACACATAGTCGCCAGCACACCGATCGTCGCGCACAACGAACGCAGATCCATGTTCCCGGGTGGTGATCTCTGCTAGCCAAGTGCCCCTGATTATAGAGGCGATTCGCACAAATCAAAAGGAACGGAAGCCGTCTGCCCCCGTGTGCAGCAAGCCCCACTTCGCCACGGACGAGGGCGCGCTCCCTCAACGCTCTGCGCTCGAGCGGCGCTGCGCGCACACCTGCCAGCGCCTGTCCTGAAGCAGCCCAGACTCCTACCAGCTGTCGTCGCGACCTGGCACCATAATACTGATAACACATTGGCGTCATGTCAGAATGGCTACGGCCGTTGCAGCTAGAGCGGCAGCATCACCTGCTGCCGGGAGAGTGGTGGGCGCTGGCCAGTGTATGCTTCGGGCTGGTGGTGTTTGCGGGGCTCATGTCAGGCCTCACCTTGGGACTCATGTCCCTCGACGCCGTTGACATGGAGGTGCGCACAAGGCTGCCAGAGCTTGAATGAAGGGTCACGCAGGACGGGGGCAACCGCGCTATCCAGCTGGACGACTGTGAACGGTGCTGACCGCCATGCAGTGCACAACGGGTAATGCGCCTGCCGCGGTCTGCCGCGCGACGCAGGAATGTTTACAAACCTCCCATTCGGAATACCAACCCAGGTCCTGAAGCGCAGCGGAACTGATGCAGAGAAGCGCTACGCAGCGCGCATAATCCCTGTCATCGCCAACGAGCATTTTCTGCTCGTTACCTTGTTATTGTGCAATGCAGCTGCGGCAGAGGTGGGGTGGGGCGCCGTGGGGTTGTGAGTGAGAAAGAATGGGTCAAGCGGCCAGCAGGCGCGTGTCCAGTCTAGGAACCCTCATGCAACGCCTGCTCGCCGCCCCCCCCCCCCCTCCCCCAACCTTCCCCTCCCCCTGGGACAGGCCCTGCCCCTGTTCCTTGACCGCCTGGCCGACCCCCTCACGGCCGTTCTGCTGAGCACGACAGTGGTGCTGGTGTTTGGAGAGGTGCTGCCTCAGGCAGTGTGCTCACGATACGGCCTGATGGTAGGTGGGGGGGGGGGCTTTAGGGAGCGTAAAGGCTGACAATTCTGGCGCGCACGCATGCGTGCAGACATGTGATTGCACATGAGCAGGGAGCAGAACGGAGCGGAGGCTTAGCACCGCATATGATGCTGCAGCTGGCAACGCTGGCGAGATTCCTGTTCCAGAGCATGCTGAAGCAACGACAACACCACTGCTTAGTCCCTGTCACCCTTGCAACCTCATCTGCCTTGGCGCTCACCGCAGATTGGTGCCAACAGTGCGTGGTTTGTGCGTCTGCTGATGGCCATCGCAGCACCCCTGGCCTGGCCTGTTGGCAAGCTGCTGGACATTCTGCTGGGAGGAGAGCACACAGTGGGTTCAGGGTTGTGATGGGGGCGAGTGGTCAGCAATGGGGATGGTCATTTGGTGATGGCGGCAGTGGGATATCGCAACCTGTTGAGGTACTGATTGTGTTGGGGAGGTCCAGCTGGGGCAAACTCATATTGCCTGAAACGGGACGCTCATGGCCGGCCAGCTGGATATAAAGGGGTAGGTGGCGGCAGAAACTCCTTGCCGCTGAGGTGAGGCCCGCGGCCTTGGCCCACAAACGCCCCTGCCCGGGCCCCCGGCCCCTCGCCAGGCGCTGTTTCGCCGCGCGCAGCTCAAGGCCTTGGTGGGGCTCCACGGGGAGGAGGAGGGTCTGGGGGGCACCCTGAGTGTCGACGAGATCTCCATCATATCGGGCGCCCTGGACCTCACGCACAAGACGGCCTGGACCGCCATGACGCCCCTCGACAAGGTGTGCCGCGGGGATGAAGGCCGCGCGGGAAGGACGAGAGCCAAAGGACACGGGAGGGATCAGCAACCTGCCAAGGAAGGCGGCCCGCACATGCCTCGCCTCGCCCCCTCGCGCGCCTCATCATCCTCCACGGCCCCTGCGCCCCCCTGCCTCTCACCGCAGGTGTTCATGCTGCCGGTGGAGCGCCCCCTGGACGAGGCCTGCCTCCAGGACATACTCAGCCGCGGTCACAGCAGGGTGCCAGTCTACACCGCGGCAGATAGGTGCGGGCGCAGCACGGCGGCTTGGCGGGCGCTCTGCCCTCTTGTGTTGCCCAGGCCGTGGGCGACAGGGGATGCATGTTGTGCTAGCCGCCCGCCTCCCCTTCGCCCCCTCCCCTGTTGCTTCAGGCTGGCAACCACAATCGTTGGGTCCCTGCCTTGCGACACCCGGCCCTGGCCACCGCTGCTGTTCCCTGTCAGCGGCTGCTTGCTCCACCCTCTCAAGCCTCCCCTTCAACCAGCCCACGCTGTGATGGCCTCTCTCGATCCCCCCAGGCATGCTGTTGTGGGGTTGATCCTGGCAAAAGAGTTGGTGCTGGTGGACCCAGCAGAGAAACTGACAGTGGGGCAGCTGCCCATGCGCACGCTGCCGCGCCTCAGCGCCGCCACGCCGCTCTATGACATGCTCAAGCTGTTTGAGGCGGGGGGCAGCCACATGGCGCTCCTCGTGCGCCAGGACACAGGGGCACATGGCCCTGGGCAGGGGCCGCGCGGGGCTCCGGGCAGCGGCAGCATCGCCCGCGCGCGCTCTGGCCTCATCGTCTCGGGTGCGAAGTGCTCCAGTTGCTGCGCCCAGCTTGCTGCTGCATGCTGCGCCACCTGCCTGGTCTCAATCTCCACTGAATCTGTGCACGCATTACGCTGATGCGCGCTCAGACCAACCTCTGAAGCGGGGACACCGCTGTTCCCCCCTTGCTGCCGTCCTCAAGGCGACAGTGCCTACATCATACAGGCAGCCGACGCGGCTGGAAACATGTCTGCCTTGGGGCCTGCGGACGGCGGTGAGTCCTGGGCCCCACCAGGTGGCTGGGGTGACACGTGTGAAGGCGATGCTGTGGGCATCATCACGATTGAGGACGTCATCGAGGAGGTGCGGGGCGTGTGCATGTTGCCCGTCGAGATGAGGTTGGTTTGAGGACAGGTAACCTGCCTGAGCTTCATGTTGGCCGATGATGCGCTGGAGTGTGTGGGGAGTTGCGGCGAGTCAGCGATGCACGTGAAGCTGCTCTGCAATGGTGATCTTGAGTGCCCGCGTTTCACAAACGTGCTGAGTAGAGCAGCGCGGTAAAACACCCCCTGTCCTGCACACCCCTATCAGCTGCTGGGGGCCGAGATTGTGGACGAAACCGATCTCTTCGTGGACAACCAGCAGACCTCTCGCGTTGATGCAGGAGAGCTGTCGAAGTCGCTGCCAGCGCGGCTGCGCAAGGTGCGACCGGGCCCCATCGGACACCCCCTGCAATGGGAGTCGCTGCCTCCTTGACCAACCGCACCAAGCGGGCTTGAAGTCCTGCCAGCACTGGCCAGACCACTCCACCGCACCAACTGTAACATGATCAACGCCGCCGCCTCTCTAACCACATCTCAACGCCCAGGTTCTTGCTCGGGGCGAGTTCACGCCCCGTGTGGGGCGCCTTGGCTTCCAGCGCCTGGGGTCATCAGCGGGCGGCAGCAGCACCGGCCCTTTCCACAGCACAGCCCTGCGCAGCCACGACAGCGGTGATGCGGCCACACCGCGTCGCCATCACCACATGACGGAGCACTTTTTCCTGCCAGGGCAGCGCCCGCACCAGCCCAATGGTGCGGCAGGGGCTGTGCCACGACAGGTGGCCTCCCAGCAGCTGCAGCCTCAAACTGCCATTGGCAGCAGCGGCAGCGGTGCCAGGGGATCCGGCTCAAGCGGCACTGATGGCCCCTCTTTGAAGCAGGCCCCCAGCGACCCAATGCCTATCGACCCAGCGCGCACCAGCTCCAGTGGCCTGGTGATCTCACCGGGGGGGAGTGGCAGCTGGGCGGCTGGGGCCAACTCTGGCGCACGGCGCGTTCGATTTGGCAGTGCCACAGGTTCCTACAGCGGCGGGCTGGTGCTTAAGCCGCGGCTGCTGGACCCTGATGAGAATGGCCACGCAGCGTGACGGCAGCCGTGTTACCTTCTAAATACTCTGATTTAGTGTACTTTTTTTGTGACAGCTGACACCCATCCTGAGGCGCAGCCGCCTCACTGCTGCCTGCTGCTGCCGTCTGGTGGAGACAGGCATGCCGCTGGACCGAAGCAAGGCAAAGGAGCGCTGCCGCCCAGTTGCGCATCATTCATTGTAAGAAAGGCAATCCTTTCTGTGCTTGCAGCTCGCACCCGCTCTGTACCGCTAAATTGCCACCCTAATTATTTTGCCGCGTCCAGGGGCGCTGCTCGCTAATGCCTCACACTGCAGCAAGCCAGATCCCGCAAAGGCAGGGCTGTTTGGGAGTGGCGGTTGCCGAACACCAGCAGCAGAGCAGCAGCACCGCTAAACGCCAGTAACTGCCATTGTCCGACGTGCGCATAACGAGGCGACCGGGAGAGGGCTGCCAAGAGAACGTGGGCGCTGCACGCAAACCATCTTGACAGAGGTCTTATCAGGGCGTAGCAGTAGCCAGATTGTCCTGCACTTGCCCCAACCATGCAAGTAAAGGCGCTTGATTGCTACCTACACACATGGACCAATTTGCGGGACATTTGCGCCCTGCCACAGCTACAGTACAAACATTCACTCAGATTAACCCTTGTGATCAGCGCGACCTGTGCAAGGCACCTGGTCTGAACACAAACATCGTTTGTGGATGCACTGCGCGCGCAGCAATGACGCGTGATGCATGCGACATCGTGTGACAGCCGATGTGGTTTTGACATTGCTTGGACTGCGTACTTGCGCCTGCCGCACTCTCAATATGGCATTTTTTGGGACTATTTGACGTGCTTTGCCCCAACGTTGTCCTCTGTTGCATTGTTGAGCACGACCCCAGGTGCGCCAGCAACACGAGCGCCCCAAAACCCGGCGGCGAACCTGCTGCCATGCGTGCGCCTGTACAACCGCATAGGCTGGCATTGCTGACAACTAGAACCGTAACAAGCGGCACACCGCACACCTAACCGCACTTCCGTGATGAGTTGCGGAGTTACACGCGCAGGCCCGGGTGACGATGCGGTGTGATGTTGCGTGAGTCAGGGAATGCAACAGGCGGTGGGTTGAGGAGGTGCAGGCGGGCCCTGGGCAGCAGGCAGGGCCTGAAGTGTGCCTGGTTGGTATGTCAAAGGCGGCGTGAAGTGCCTGCTGATGCGGGCGTGTGCGCCGGCAGTGCATCAAGCAGGTGGCCGCTTTGGGTCTGGGTTTGCGGCAGGGGTGTGATTAATGGGCGGCCGCGTCCCTGTGGTGCTTTAAGCTGGACAGGATAGCAGCAATCCAGATTCACCGAGGTGAGAGCCGTATTCCAGGGACCCCTGGAACCATCGTTACGGGCGCAGCAAACAGCGCAGCCGTGCCCGCTCTGTGTATAGCGCCAGGCCCAAATTGCTGCAAGGGACGCGCGACATGTTCATGCGACCCACGCAACGGCGTGTTTCTCCACCGCCTTGACTACGTCAGCCTCCTCTCGCGCAAAGCTGGGCAGCAGCTCGCCCCAGGACAGCCCGCTATCCGCCCAGGCCGCCTTGGCGGCAGCGCCATCATCGCCTGCAGCCGCGCGCCACCTGTTGAGCAGCTCCGCCACCAGCGGCAGGGCCTTCTCCGCATCAACCAGGGGAGGGTCCTCGCCACCATCGCTGCCGCCATCCCCCTCGTCGCCGCCGCCGTCGCCGCCGCTTCCGCGTGCCTTGACCTGCAGCACGGCATCTGCCACCGCGCGCAGCTGCAGGTGGCCCCCCGCTGCAAAGTCCCCAAGCATGCGGCCTGTGAGCGCAGGCGCCTTGGGCACGTCCTCCGCCAGGTCAGCCAGCCGCGCCAAAAAGCCACTGGGGCCCAGGAAAAGCGCAGCCAGGTGCGCGTCGCTCAGGCCACCGCTCTCAAGCTGCTGCTGCAAAAATTCCTGAGGGTTGCGACAGATGTTGCGGGGACGGCCTTTGACAGGTGACGAATGTTCCCATGTGTTTTTGCTGTGTGTCAGTCATTCCTTGTGAAGCCATGCAAGGCCACTGGGGCAGTTTGCCGCTTTCTGGTCCACCGCCAAAGCCTCGGACGCGCACAGTGAAAGTGCGGCAGGTTCAGGAACGTGCTACGCAGCTGCCGCCTCAGCCCCGCTGGTTAAGCGTCTGCTCTCCGCCTCTAGCCGCCCCACACAGCTTCCCCCACCCCCCACCTTGGGCTTCTCCAGGCGCTCCTCCAGGGCCACACCGCGGACGTCCAGCGACCGCCGCAGCACTTCCTGCAGCGCCTCACCCACGTCCTCAGCACCGCCCACCACCAACCGGAGCAGCTCCTCTGGTGTCGACCCCGTGTCGTCCGTCTGCCCAAAGAGCAGCTTCACAATCGACTCCACGGCGCTCTGGACCTCGGCCTGCGACAGCCCCACGCCGCCCACACCACCTGCGTCGCTCGGCCGCCCGCTGCCCCCTGCGGAAGCCCCGCCTCCAGAGGTGCCACCTGCAGAGGCACCACCCTCCTCGCTGCCTCGCAACGACGGCCGCTGTGGCGGGGCCGGCTGCTGCTGCTGCGGCGGCGGCGGTGGGCGCGCTGGGGGTGGTGGCTGCTCCGGCACGCCCATGCGCGACCCCGTGCTGACGGCTGGTCGCCGCTCGCCGGCCCCGCGCATCGGGCTGGCGCCCTTCAGGCCAAAGCCCTGCGGCCGCAGGCTGATCTCAGTCGACGCTGTGCGCGCCCCGAGCTGCGACTTCATGGGGGCGGTTGGCAGCTCATCACGCCGCAGGTGGTCCACCCCACTGGACCGTCGCGGCATCTCGCCCCCATAGCCAGGGCCGGGGCCGGGAGGGCCGCGGGCTGGGGGTGGGCCCCGGGCGCTGCTGCGGTCATTGTTGCGCGCCGCCACGTTGTCTGCCTCGCGCTTTGCTGCTCGGTGCAACTCCTGCGTCCGGGGAACAGGGATCACGTCCCAGGCAAGAGCTGATGACAAGTGATAGGGAAGAGGTGCGTTCAGGCTGCTGGACGCTAAGGGCACGCAGCCACCTCAAAAAACCTGACATGCAGAGCTGCAAAATGCCCCGAGTTGCTTCGAATCCGCCCATCATCCCCCAGGAACCCCACCCACCTCAATCTTCATGGGCCCCTCTGCCTTGCGGCGTGTGGCCCAGCCGCGCGAGCGCTGCTCCTGGATGTCCATGAGCATGAAGCGCAGGCGGCTGTCCAGGGCCTTGTTCTCCACCAGCCGCGTGATGCGCTGGAAGTAGGCGTCCATCAGCCGCCGCCCCTTGGCCGCCTCCTCCTTCTGCCGCTGGGCGACCTGCATCTGCGTCATGCCGGCAGAGCCCTTGACCACGCCGCCGCGCTCCAGCTGCTGGCCAATGGTTGACAGCAGCTTGCAGAGGCACTCCAGGTCCTCCAGCTTGGGGTTCTGGTCGTCCAGCAGCAGGCGCTGGATGCAGCTGTAGAGGAGCGGGGTTGATTGGGCAATGAGAGGGGGTCGGGGTGAGAGGGGGGTGAGGGTCGCGAGAGGTGATGGAAGATGATCAGGAGCGGTGCCCAGGTGAATGCAGGGGGGACACGTGACGGCCAGGCGAGCCTGCAATGGCCCAGCATCGTTGGTCCGCATGACAGGCGTGTAGCTCTTCAAGAAGGAGAGGGGGGAGGGCAAGGCACAGATCCCGCAAGCTGTTTGCGCTCGCGGGGGATCCACGCGCTGTGTTCGCCTTACATCCATGGCATGACTTTCCCCAGAATCACCCACGCCCTGGATGCACCCCTCCCTCTCCGCGGCACCTGTGCATGATGTTCTCAGTGAGCATGCCGTAGCGGTACAGGTGCCCGATGAATTGAATGTTGCCCAGCATGCGTCGCCGGGCCTTGAGCTCCTCCTCTGCAGCCAACCGTTCCGCACGCCTTGCCGCCGCTGCCGCTGCTTTGGCATCCAGAGGTTTGGCGGGCTTGGGGGGTGACGTCTCACCCTCCTCCTGCTCGCCTGCACCGCCGTCACCCTCACCGCTCCCCTTGACGCCGCCATCAGCATGCTGCTGCTGCTGCTGCTGCTGCTGCTGCTGCTGCTGCTGCTGCTGCTGCTGCTCCTCCTCCCCTGGCTGCTCCTCGTCGTCGTTACCCTCGCCGTCATCCTGTGTCAACAGCGGGCCGCAGCAGTGACGCAAAAGGGGGGGGGTGTGAGTGCGGCAACAAGACCCTGGAGCGGGCAACAAGGCGCTGACAGGCAGGCAAAGCGTACGTTTGGACACGCAGCAACTGGGGGGCAAAGCACGCTCGTCTGGAGACCACAACCGGTCGCCCAAACTATGACGCCCGCCTGTTTGAGCCTGTTCTGTCAAACCCCACCTTGCCGCCACGCTCCTTGGCCATCGCCTCCCTCTGCGCCACCGCGAGCATCGCTGCGTCGCCCTTCTCAAACTCCTCCTGGCACTTGTTGAGCAGCAGCCGGCGGAAGTTGAGCTTGCGGCGCTTTGCCTCGCCGCCCTCGCTGCCCACCACGGCCTCCTCTGACGGGTCGTCAAACTCAGGCAGCCGCTTCTGCAGGTTGTGGCACAGCTGGCTGTACAGCTCACAAAAGTGCGGCTCAAAAAGCGCCTTGTCAAAGATCTGGGTGGAAAATGTGGGGGAGGGTTAAGGGTGAAAGAGTTGAGTGCGTCCATGTAATAGAATCCACAGGGAGCGTGCGGCAGCTTTCTGTCCGCAAATTCAGCCGGGTCTCCACGCAAATGCACGGCGTGCTCTTGGCGCAGCTGCATGCATGTGCAGCCAAGTCCTCAACCGCCCCTTGATCGCTGTATGCATTAATGCCCGTCCACGCGTGCCACCCGCCCCACCTGGCCGATGAGCCCGACCAGGGTCTTGGCCTGCGTGATGCCGACGTCCAGCAGCTGCTGCGCCAGGCGCTCAAAGTTGTCGGGCGTGATCTTGTTGAGGATGCCCTTGAATGCCTTCTGCTTGGCCTCCTCCTCCGGGTCGTCACTCAGCACCAGGCCCACCTTGAACGCACTCTCACTCTTGTGCAGGGCGGGCAGGTCGCGGCGCGGCGGCATCACACCACGCGCCGGCGGCAGCGGCCCGCCACGCGCCCAGCGGTCTGAGTCGACGCTTCCAACTGGCGGTCCTGGACGGCGCCCGCTGTCTGCACGCGGCATGCCAGGGCCGCTGAGACTGCCGCGAGGGCCGTCTCGGAAGACCACCACCCCCGGCGGGCCCAAGGGAGGGCCAGCACCACGGCCGCCAGGGCCCCGCGCTGCCCAGTCGCTCTCCACACGCTCCAGACCGCCGCCGCCGCCGCGGCGTCCGCTGATGCCGCCGCCTCGACTGTCGCCACGAATGAGGGCCCGATCAAAGCCGCCGCCCGCAGCAGGGATGTAACCGGGCGCGGTTGGGTCATGGATGATCTCCTCCTGATGTTGATAGTGTGAAGTGGGGGTTGTGCAGAGAAACTGATACACTGTTTGATGGGTAAAGAGAGCAACTCTTGCAGGCGGCAGCAATGCGTGCGTTCTGAACGCCTTTGCTGCCACGCTGAGGCGGCAAGCAGCACCAAGCACCAAGCCGTGCCACAGCTGAATGGCTCACAATCTCCGTGGTCAGCACTGCCTTGCCCCTGGATGCCGGCACGTCGCGCAGCTTGATAATGTAGTCGCGCGTGTACTGCCGGCGCCCGTCAGCACCGGCAATGGGCGCAAACGGCGAGGCCGCTGAGGGCGGCTTGGGACCTGAGGGTGGTGCCGGGGGCTGTGGCTCGCCCGAGTCTGCTTGGTCCTCCCAGCTGTCCTCGACACCGGGCGCCTCGGCGTCCACACCGCCGCCGCCCTCCGCAGCTGCCACTGCCGTCGCCACATGCGCCTCCTGGGCCGACGGCGGCGTGGCGGGGGCTGCTTCGGCGGTGGCCCCTGCTGGCTGCGCCCTGAAGGTCTCCAGCATGTCACCCTGGGGCCCGCGTGCGTCTGCTTTGGCCAGCACCTCTTTGCGTGAAAGAGGTTTTTTGTCTGCCTCAGCGCCAGGAGTGGGGGCAGGCACAGGCGCCGCCAGCTGGCTCGTTGCCGGCTCCTGTGCCGCCAGCTCCTCGGCTGCAACAACCTTGGCTGCGGGCTCCTTTGCTGCAGCCTTGTCTGCCGCAACCTCTGCTGCTGCAACCCCCTCTGCTGCAAGCTCCTCTGCTTCACGCCCCACTGCACCAGGCATCTCTGCCGCGCCCTCTGCTGCCGCACCCTGCTCTGTTGCGCCCTCCTCTGCCGCGCCCTCTGCAACATCCTCTGCTGCATGCTGCTCTGTTGCAAACACCTCTGCTGCTGGCCCGGGCTCGCTCGGCGCACTGACCGCCACAGGGGCAGCCGCCGTCACAGGCGGACCCCTGCCAGGGCAGTTCGCGCTGGGAGAAAGGGGGGCGCTGGGCTTGGCGGGGGCCACAGCGCCCTTGGGAGAAGCGGGGCTGGCATTCTTGGCAATCGCCTCGGCAAATGACCTGACCAGGCTCTTCACCTTGGCGGCGCCGCCCTCAGCTCCAGCAGCACCTGCAGCGCTGCCGCCGTCTGACGCCGCCAAGCCCGCGCCCTCGCTATGCCGCTGGGGGCCAGCCTCTGGCGGGGGCCCGCAAGTCACTGCAGACTCTGCTGCGGGCACAGCCTTGGCCACCACACCGACCCCTGCCTCAAGCGCCGGTGGAAGCCCCAGCCCCAGCACGGGCGAAGGCTCGGCGGCCAGAGCTGGCTCAGCGGCGTCCAGGGACAGGTGCAGCCTGGGCGCCTCACCAGTCGCCCCCGTCAGGGGCGTTGAGGTTGCGACCGCCCTCTGCTGCTGCTGCTGCTGCTGCTGCTGGTGTGCGATAGCCATGATCTCCTTGGAGGGCGTGCTCAAGCCCCCGCCAGCCGTGGCGGCGGCTGCCGTCGTAGGTGGCGCAGGTGGCACGATTGGCGGAGGCTTCACACGTAAAGCGGCCCCTGGAGATGCACTGACTGGCATGGAGGGCTGCTGCTGCTGCTGCTGCTGCTGCGGCTGCTGCTGCGACGGCAGCATTTCTCCAGTTGCCGGCCGCGACGTTGTGGGTGAGGGAGTGGAAGTGGCGGCTACCTTGACCTCCTCCTTGGTGTTAGGGTTGACAATAGCCAGCCGCTTGCTTTTGGGAGCAGACAGTGCCGCAGCTGCCACAGGCGCTACCGAAGGCGACAGTGTTTTGGGTGCCTCCCGCCTGCTGATGCTGGCTGGCGCCACAGCCGCCACCGGAGGCACGCTGCTGCTTGTGCCTGTACCGCTACTTCCGCCACCGCCGCCACTGCCGCTGCCGCTCGGGCCCTGCAGCCCTACGCCGCCACCGCTGGGCGGTACGCTGGTGGGGACCGCCGCGCTCTGCAGTGGCGTCTGCTGGGGATAGGCCTGCGCTGGCAGCTGCATAAAGGGCCCTGCTTGCTGGGGTACATAGCCGTACGGGGCCGGGTAGGCAGCTGCCGCGGGGTACATCTGTACTGGGTAGGCAAAGCCCTGTGGCGCCGCGCCGTAGAAGCCATAGCCATACGCAGCTGCCCCCTGGGCATACTGCTGCTGCTGTGCCTGCACTGCCGCCTGCGCCTGGGCCTGGCTGTGTTGCATTGCCGCCTGCGGCGACTGTGAATAGCCAGGCCCCTGCTGCTGCGCGCCAACCACCTTGCCGCTGGCGTGGACATACCCACCACGCTGCTGAACGCCGTGAGTGGGCCCGCTCCGCCGTCCTTGCTGCCCATCAGGCGTGTGCATGTGCTGCATCTGTACCTGCTGCTGCTGTGGTGGAAGCACTCCAGGCTGCTGCTGCTGCTGCTGCTGCTGTTGCTGGTTGTATTTGGCGCCGGGCATGTGCACGGCAGGCCCTTGCACGAGGGGCGGCGACGGCCCACCTCCGTTTCGTGGTGGCGGGGGTGGAGGCGCCCCAGGTCCGCCAGGCCCCTGGACTTTGCTCTGCATCCCCGGCATGGGGATGCCTGGCCCCATAGGGCCCTTAGCTCCGCCCAGCGGCGGCCCCATCCCCGGCGGGCCCATTTGCGGCGGCACCATGCCAGGCGGCAGCCCTGCCATCGCCCCCATCATGGCGGCCGGCATCATCATTGGCGGCTGGACGTGAGCAGCGCCGACCATGTGCGGCGGCACCAGCCCCGGCGGCGCCGCGGGCATTCCTGCGGGCGCTGGCACTATGCCCGGCGGGAGCACTGGGATAGCTGCGGGCCCATGAGGCTGCGGCGGCAGAGGGCCACCTGGCTTAGGGCCCTGCACCATCAGACCCCGCGGCTGCTGCTGCTGCTGCTGCGATTGGTGCTGGTGGTGCTGCTGCGAGGGGGGTTGCGGGCCGTGCTGCTTGTGTGCTAGGGCCATCGGCGGCGTTGCCACGGCGCCTATGGGCTCGTCCATGCCGATCGTGCCAAAGCTCATAGTCGGCACAGCCGCCTCGCCGCCCTCTGTCTGCCCAATCGCCATGTCTGCAGTAAAGGCGGGGGGCATAACACAGGCACGACTGTAGTGGGTCACCGCTGCGGTCACACTGGCTTCGGCGAAGCGGCAGTGCGTGTGCGTTATGCGCGCCTGACAGGCTCGATCCGCAGCGCACGTAGTCCTGAAAAACCGCTGATGTGCTCCCAGTACCGAGCTCAAAGCCCGCACCTGATGGCACGCCTTGCCCGTCAGATTTCTTCGCCACGTCCGACCAAGACGTACTTGGGGGCCCACCTGCGGGTGTAATAAGAGCTCTTCACCCCACAAGCCGGCAGGCACGCCTTCCCGTGCATTTGTGAAGCAGCCAAGCAAGGACGCGTGCACAAGCAAGCACACATCACTCACCCATACCCTCGTGGAAGCCTCGACCACCCCTGCCTCCAGATGCATTCCTGCACGTCGCGATCAAACCATTAAAGGCAGATCGAGATGAACGCCGGGGCGCGGCACAATAAGATCTGGCAAACGAGGCTTGGCGGCAGGCTCACCTGCCCCCTCGCCGCCCAGCCCCACGGCCTCCACCCGGTGGTCCATAAACCTCCGGAGGACCCTGCGGCGGGGCAGAGCTGGACATAAGCCCCTGCTCGGCTCTGCCCGGCCTCTGCTCACGAAATCGATAAGATGCGTTCCTGTGGTCCCAAGTATGGATGTCTCACTATTTTGTTGAGATGGGTGACTGCACCACACGGCGGAACGTGCGACAACTGCTGCTGTTTGGGAGGAACGCCAACGGTCGGGCAAGTCGGCTGACCAGCCGTGGTCACCACTGCTGCATGATGCACGTCCCCAGATTTCGCCACCCCTTCCCATGCCTAGTTGTTGAGGCGTCGGACTTGCAGGTGGCTGATTGAAAAGGCTTATAGGGAAGGTCACACCACCCGTTCACCTGGCACTAAACAGCAACTTGACTCTGCCGGCCAGCAGTTGTATTTGCAATGCAAGGTCCAGTCTGTTGCCCAAGAAGCGTTAATAGGAGATGCAAGGCGACACGCAGGCACGACTGCACTCATGCCTGCTTGCCACAGGAAGAGGAGCAGCATTGACACAAGGTACATCACACGCCTCTCACATGATCGCGACCCTGCCGGTTTGCCAGTGCCAGGACTGGCCTTCAGCTGGGCGACGCAGCATACGCCATCAAACCCAGATGATTCCTCGCAAAACTGTCGCGTCCGCCTTGTCCAGGAGCATTGACTGGTGCCTCAGTAGGCAGAAGCGGCGCCAACATGGGCGGCGGGCGCGGCTGCAACGCTGACTGGCGCCACTGAGAGCTCCTTGGTGATCTGCTGCAGCTTGAGTATGTGGCGGCTAAGCACCTCTGCCTCCACCAGCTGGCGCGCCCCCACGGCCTCGTTGACAATGATGAGCTCGGCGCCCGAGGCAGGGTCAACGTCGATGTAGAAATCGATGTCGGCGACGCTCACAAACGAGCCGCCCAGCATGTCAGCACCCGCAGCAGGCTCCCAGGCCATCACATAGTTCTTGTTCTTGAGCGCCATGAGCGCCTGCCGCAGCGCGCCGTCGTCCATGTCCAGCAGGCTGGCCAGCTTGGGCACGCTGATTGATGAGTACAGCAGCAGGTACTGCTTCAGCAGCGGCAAGCCGGAGCATGCGCGCACCTCCTTCAGGAACGCACCCAGCTGCTGGCGGAAAGCCTGCGCGCACGCGTGCGTGTGTGCGAATGTGTGTGCGCGCACGCGTGCCGCAAAAAGAAATTGGAATTGCTGGCAGGTGACATTGACCACTACAGCATGGAAGGCGGGCAGAGCAGCCAGAAAACGAGCCCCCAAAATTGTGAAGCAGGCAGCCACCCGCCTCCCACACACAATTGCCCCTATCTTGCAGAGCTGCACCCTTGTCTGGCCCCAATCAAGCCGGGATCACTCTTGCGCCCACCTCTTGAACGTTGGTGGCCTGCGGGTTGTCATATGATGGCGGCGCTGGCGACACAAATTTGGGGCAGCCGTACGAGAACAGCTCCTCAAAAGGCGCCTCGTCCCCGCGCGCCATGCGCTGCAGCTTGTCGGCGTACTTCTCACGCAGCTGCACCAGTACGCCCTCGTCCAGGCCCTTCTGCACTGCGGGGCACAGCGCCACCGTGCAGGCCAGTAGGGCGTACATCTGCTCGTTCTTCTTGAGCATCTGCTCGTAAGCAGAGTTGCGGGTGTGAAAGGCTTTGACACGCGCCACGTACGCCAGGATGGCGTTGAGTGAGCGGGCTGCGTCGCTGTAGCGCCTCAGCATAAGGTAGGCGAAGGATGCGTAGTAGAAGAGGCTGATGTGCGCCGGCGGCAGCTGCGCGGTCAAGAGACTGCGGCGCTCAAAGAGGTTGAGTGGGTAGAGCGCCGACAGGCCGGTGGCGTAGTCGCCGATAAGCGAGTGAACGCGCAGCTGGCCCAGCAGGCTGAAATAGCCCAGCAGCGGCAGGACATTGGACGAGCCCGGGGGGTAACCGCCGGTGGCCAGCAGGGCCGCGCCACCGTCCGCCTCGATAGCCGCGACGGCACCGCTCTTGTCGACCAGGGCCTGCAGCACGTTGAGCACGTCCAGAGGCGCCCAGACCTTGTCGCACTGCCGCAGCAGCTCGATCTCCTCCGCACTCTTGTGCGCCAGCTTGCTGCGGTACTGGCAGAACGACTGGAACTGGTACAGGAACTCGTCCACCATGTCCCACAGCCACTGCACGGGCAGCTGCATGTTCACGTTACCATGCAAGATCACGCCGAACAGCTCGCAGTAGTTGTCCCTGTCCAATGACAATGGGTGATGGGTGCCGTATGGGCATGGCATGGTGGCGAGGGGGCAGCTGCGTTGCATCAGCTGAACGAGCGCCCTGCCCCTGAATCCACGCCGACGCAAAATGGCTGCAATCACACTGCCCAATCGCTTGGTACTTAAGGCTGGCTGATGCTTCCTGCCACAGCCGCTCATGCCACATCGGCACCCGGTGCCAGGACAGCTCGTCAAGCGTGTTTCATGCGCACCAGCTCTCGCATCGCGCACGCAGCCCGGGCTGGGTCTTGGCAAACAAGTGGCGAAAGTAGAGCTCCTGCGGACCACCATGGAGCGGATTGACTGAGACAGCTGCTCCAACCCAGGCTGAAGCAGTCCGCAGCTGGGACAGGTCCACTCGCGCTGCCGCGGCAAGTTCCATCGTCGCCTGCTTTCTTCTGGTGTATTCTGTTGGCTGGTCGCGAAGCGTTTTTTTCCCATCACTATTTCATCGTCTGCAGACTCGCCCGCGCCGCCTGGCAAGCCAGCAGCTTACCTTGTAAAGCAGGCAGAACACGTGGTCCTGGTCCACCAGGTCAGACACCAGGTCCACTTGCGGCCACGGCCCGCTCTTGAAGTAGCGCTCTGACAGCTTGGGGAACGAGATCTCATACATCGACTGGATCTCAGGAATGTTGCGCTCCCTGCAGTGCGAAGCATGCAACATTTCTCATGGCGGAAAGGAGACATGAATGCCGGCTTAGGAGCTGCGGCAGCCATTCCAGGCAGCACAGCGCGCGCCTCCCTGCAGCACAACGCCGCCGGCCAAAGTCGATGCAGCAGAGCTGAGATATCGGGCCCACCTGATATGCCGGTACAAGTAGTGTACGAACTGCTTGACTATGTCAGGGACAAAGTCCCCGGCGAATGGTCCGTCCGCCATGTTTGCTGTGTGCGAGCGCCTCCCTGCCGCCTTTCAGCTGGAGAGCTCCCCTACTATCAGAATTTCTGATTGGTCACAAATCAACGGCGTCACAGCTCGCCGATGGCCTGATCTGAGTTCACCAGAGTTTGGCGGCGACACGCAAAGGGGGCAGGGTGTGCAGGAGACAGCTACGATCTGCGGATGACAAGGACTGTCCTCGTGAAAGTCATGGAAGCCGCAAGCATGTGGGAGGTCGATCGATTAAGTCTGAGTCATCTACACTTACCACACTGGGGCGGTGCTGAACTTCGTGAGTGAGTGTGAACGGTGTATGTTACGGTATTTCGGCCGTCACAGCGATCTCTGTCAGTGATCTCCTTCCGGCCCAGCAAGATCGTGGGCACACACACCTCGTGACAGTTGCCGGGCAAGATGCAGACTCAGGGGACTAGCGTTTCGCGCTCCTGTGGTACTCTGGGAGGGAGTGCCATTTCCTCCCGCAGCACCCTGGCCTCCAAGAGTGCCCGGCAGTCTGCCGCGAGGTGCTGCGCTTCGGGCACCGCGTCCCTGCGGCAGAGGCCCCTGCCAGAATTTCTGTCAGTGGCGCAGCTGCACTCTGGCAGGGCCCGCTGGTCTCGCGCCAGCCGTGGCATGGGCGTGCGCATGCTTGCGATAGCGTCCTCAGCTGCGGTGCCAGTGCTGCCACCGTCTGTTGCCGCGAGCGCTGATAAGTACCGCTTCACCCTCAGCAATGGCGCCATGGTACGTTGTGCTTTGGCTTCCAAGGGGTTGCACAAGCGTGCTGCGTGCTGCGCTGGTCCTGCATCTGGCACGCGGCCTTGTGGCAACACTATGACGCGGATTGCAGAGGCGGAAATAGCTGCGCTGCTGGTACTGACGCCTCCAGGTGTACGCTGCAGTGGAGCCTCGCGAGCAGGAGCTGATTGTCACTGTCAGTGTGCCTGCAGAGGGCTTGCAAGAGGGCACCGAGCCACAGCTGCAGTGGTGCGTGCCGGGTGGGGTCATGCTGCACCTCTTCTGGACACGCGTCGCTGGAATGGCAAGCCCCTGTGGGTGTACGCAGACACAACCTACTGGATTAATGAGCTGCTTGGCTTGACCCCTTGTTTGCCTCGAGGCCCTCCCTTTCTGCCTCCTCCATCATTCACCGTTCTCTACCCACCAGGGGCATGTATCGCACACTCGATGCGGTATGGCAGTTCCCCTCTGAACTGGTGCCAAAGGGAAGCCAGCGCCACGAGGGCAGCGGGTCCATGCGCAGTCCCCTCGGCTACGACAAGCGCCGTGATGTGTGGGAGCTTCAGCTGAAGGTTCGCCGGCGCATGACACCGGTGCAGCTGGCTTTTGCCCTGCACCTGCCAGGTGTGCCAGCGTGTGAATGTTTTGAGGGTCAGGGCGTGAGGGTGTGTACACAGCAGAACGAGTAGGCATGACAGGGCAAGGGGCACGTATCACAGCAGCCTGAAGCATCTTGGTGGGCTGCAGCCTGTCGGACTCCCAAGCCTTTGAAGCACCGCTGCATGTGCTCGCACAGCCCCCCACGCAATCGTGCTGGCGTTGCCGCTGCCCACGCCGTTGCAACGCTGTACAAACACAGGAATAACGCTGACCCCCTTGCGTGGTGGATACTGTGTCGTCCCTGTGGGAATGGGGACCGGCAACCCAGAGCCGCTGGGGCCGTCCCTGGTGGCCGTTACTTCGGGCGCCGGTCCAGAGGCCACATGCACCCTCAACTTTGCGGTGAGCAGCACGCCTGCCCTTCTCAGGTACTCTGCTGGCCACCCATACATGCTGTGTTGTGACTTTGCCCGTGCACAACACTGCAAACTCCTGCTCGACCTCAACCTGCCCTTGCCCCCCAAGGTCTTCTCTCGCCATGCGTCGTCCATGTCCCTGGCCATCCTGCGGCGCGACGGGGCTGGCTACCTGGAGGTGGCGCTGGACCCTGCCACGCACCGCACAGGGGATGTGTGGCACGTGGAGCTGCAGGGCCTGCGCAACGTGGGCGGACTCTGCTACGGCTGGAGGGCGTCGGGAGACAAGACCTGGGCCGGTGGGCGATCAGTGCACGGTGCTTGCGGAATTGGCGTGGTTGGGCGGGGATGAGCTGTCGACGCTGGTGGCATGCATGTAGGCATGCATGTATTAGCTGGGTTCAATGTACTAGCTGGCTCCCCGCTGATTCAAGCCAGCCAACACTCATCCCGCTAGCCGCTCCCCTCATTTCAAACCCCACCACCGTCCACCGTAGATGGCGGCAGCTTCCACCCGGCCTACATCATGCTGGACCCCTACTGCCCGCGCGCCCTGCCTGTCACGCTGCCCCAGGCAGCCTACGATGCAGCTCCCCTGCTGCCTCCCCAGGGCCGTTTGCCTGGCCCCGTGCTGCTTGGCAGCCTTTCACACCTAACAGAGGCTTTTGACTGGGGCATGAGCCCGGCCCCAGGCCCGCGTCGCTCTCTTGAGGAGAGTGTGCTGCTGGAGCTGGACGTTGCAGATTTTACTGCCGGTGGGCTGGGGGTGTCGCAAGTAGGGCTAGAGGATCGGGTTTATTTTTAGGTGCTTCCTGTGGTAACTGTTTGGGCGCAAGAGAGGATCGCAGTGTGGTGGGTTGGCTAGCCATGCTGAGCTTGTGCTTGGTAGTGACGGGGGGCGGGGGGGACATGCGCCGTCTGATGAGGAATGGACAAGCCACTGCAGGCATCGTGCCTGCCAGGGGCCCACAAGGTGAGCACCTCTGGGGTTGCGCGACCCAAGGCAGGCCCCTTTGTGTGCAAATGTGACCCCCTGCCTCCATCATCTCGCAGGCCCCAGTGCTGAGCGCCTCGTACCCCTGGACCACCGCGGCACTTACCTGGGCGTCATAGACCGCCTCCCAGACATTGTTGCCAGCGGTGCGACCGCCGTTGTGCTGTCCAACGTGTTCCTCTCGTCCCTCACCGCTGCGCCGCCGCACGACCCGGATGAGGAGGAGGGGGCCAGCGTGGCTTGGCCCAGCACTGGTGGGCAGCTGCGGCGGCCCCTGAGCTTCATGGCGCCAGAGGTGGCCCTCGTGGCAGGCCCCGACCCCGCCGCTGCTGCGTCTCAGCTCAAAGCTGTGGTGGCGGCCCTGCACGGTGCAGGGCTCGAGGTCCTCCTGGAGGTGAGGGGCCACACAAGGAAAAGAGGTGGTGCGCACGCGGAGTCGCGTGTGTGAACCTGGTGCGCCCTTGCTTTGGCTTGGTACGAAAAGCACACAAAGCTTATCAGTTGCGTGCGTCTCCAACGCTATCAGCATGCCTGACGAACCTTGCAGATTTTCTCCTCACCCCACCTTTACCGATCAGGCCTCTCTGTCTTGACAATGCAACACCCTTCCTTACGCCCTCCCACACACACCGCATAAAACAAGGCGGAGTTCTGCCTGACAGCCGAGGTGGCGGGGGGTGCCGGGGGACGCCTGCAGAGCATGGCGGGGCTGGACGGCGACATGTACGTGCGTGGCGGCGGTGGCCCTGGCGCACGCGGCGTCCTCAACACGGGTCAGCCCGTGGTGCGCCAGCTGGTGCGGTCCGCGCTGCGGCACTGGGTGTCAGAGTTCCGGGTGGACGGCTTTGTGCTGGTCAACGCTGAGAACCTGGCGCAGGACCCCCTGGGGGCCGTCAGGGACAGCCCGCCGCTGCTGGAGGAGCTGGCAGCAGACCCAGTGCTGCGCGACGCCAAAATCATCGCATCGGGCAACGACGGGGGGCTGCTGCCGCGAGGCGGCGAGCGCGGCGTGCCGCACTATGGCGTGTTGGCAGAGTGGAACGGCCGCTTTGCACGCGACATCATCGCGCTGCTTCGTGACAATGCAGGTAGGCGGGGTGCCACAGGCTGGCGTGCAGTTCTAGAGCTACGCGGTGAGCGCCAATTGGGCTTTCACACCTGTCTGTCGTGCGCCCTCATGCAGGGTGGGTGTCACCTCCCTCTGCCAACCCCCACCGAGCCGTTGTGCCTTGACCCTGATCATCCCACCTCTGTTCCTGACTGCCAGGTGGTCGCCTGAGCGCCCTGGCTACACGTCTGATGGGCAGCCCCGACCTGACCGCCGCACGCTGGGATGCCGGACTGCCGGGCGGCCTGGCGGCGGGGCGGCGCCCGGGGTACAGCGTTAATGCGCTGTCAGCGCCGGGCGGCCCCGCGCTGCTGTCTCTGGCGGGCGGCGACGAGGACCTGGAGCGCGGCGAAGTGGTAGCGCGGTCGCTGCTGGTGGCAGCAGCAGTCGCACAGGGCACGCCAGCCCTGAGCGGCTCCGTGCTGGCGCGCGCAGGGCTGCGGCGCTTTGCAGCAGCAGCTCTGCAGCTCAGGCGCAAGTATCGCCACCTGCTGGCGCCGCCCCTGCTGGACTCGCCCCGGGACATCACGTGAGCCCCGCGGCTGAGCAGGCTGATATCGGAATGTGTCACACGCTTGAGAATGTCGCTGGGTGTCGCGAGTGTGCTTTGAGGGCGTGCGTGCCAAGCCATGACAACACGGAACGCTGAAGACCCCCTCACCGTGTCGCACATGGTACGCAGCTGGCACGACGTATCTGCCTCGTGTGAGCCGGACTGGAGCGGCGAGGCCGCGGCTGCGCAGGTGTTTGCATCCAACTACATTGGGTTCAGCGCTCGGGGCCTTGCGCCAGAGGTAGCAGCAGCGATTGCTGCTGCGGCCGCTAAGGCAACGCCATCGGCAACCAGTGCTGCAGCCAGCCCTGCCTCCTCAACGGTGACACGTGGCACGGTCGCTGCGGCCGCGGCCACGGCGTCCCACAGCCAGCAGCAGGCAGTTTATGTCGGCTTCAACCCGAACCCTGAGGCCGTCACTGTGACCCTGCCAACCCCTCCCTCTGGGCTCCAGTGGCGCCGCGTCATAGACACCAGCAGGTGAGGCTGTCGGCTCAGGAGCTCGCACGCGCATACATCTGCCCCAGGCGACGTTAATCTCAAAGCTTTCTGCCCTGTCCTGCCATGAGTGTGCTTGCTGAAGGGTTGAGATTAACGCAATCGACCTCCCCCCTCTGCAGACTGCCCCCTGACGATGTTGTGCCTGAGGGGGGGGAACTGCTGGACACAGAGTACATCCTGGCACCAGGGGCCGCTCTCATGCTGGACGCAGTAATCCGGCCAACGCAGCCCTTGACCAGCGGCCCAGGCGGGGTGTCTGCCGCACTTCGTGCAAGTCAAGTGTATGAGCGCCTAGGGCAGCCTTGAGTCTTTTGCAGGTCTCACAGCTGCAGTGATCTGGGTGCTGCGGCATGGGCACGTTTTTAAGCTGGGCTTCCTTATCCAACACACTCTTACATTGGGACGATGCGCAGTTGGCGCGCGCTTGTGTATTGATCTTGCCACATCCCATTTGATAACACAGATGGCAGGAGGGACTTGTCTGGTCAACATCACTACTGGCCACACATACCTGGATAAATGCAATTACATGCAATCGGGCATGTTTACCTGAGTAATCAACGATGCGCTGCATGCTGCTATGCAGCGCAAGGGCTGCTGCCTTTGGCCACAAGTCACGCCAGCGCCCTTGGCCCACACCCTGCTTCACGGCTTGATCAGCACAGTAGCAAGCGGCACGCTCAGACCCAGCAGCAGCCGCAGCACCAGTGGGGCGGTGAGCCAGTTATTGACGACGTCTTGCTGGTGGAGCAGCCGGCCCGTATCAGGGTCAACCGTGAGCGTCGTCGTCACATGGATGGAAAGCACGTCCCCAAACACCCAGCGCACCAGCACCAGCAGGGTGGGCAGGTGCCAGCGCTGCTGGCTCACCATCTCCAAACGCAGCATCCCCCTGTCCTGGAGGTGTGAAACGTTGGCAGCCACCGGCTGCTGAGGAGGCGTGAAGAGCACCTTGATGCCTGCGGAAATAAACGAGTGCTTGATCAATACAAGGCATAGTTCATCACAGTCCACCACCGACAGGCGCCCGGGAACTTGCAGCAGCACCAGCTGCCCTCTCTCAAGTCCCTGGACCTCCATGACTAGCTGCCCACCGTTGATCTGGATCTCGGTGTGCTTCATAGGCGCCATTAGAAAGCGCCACACCGCCACCGCGTTGTCTGTGCCGCCCACAGTGGTGATGAAGCTGCATCGCTCAACAGCAGTGCACGGGTGGTCAGGCGTGTGAGAATGGGCTTGAAGCGTTATAGTTTATGCTGGCACCCACCAGAGCGCAACAGTGGTGCAGTTTTGTCAGGCCTGTGGTGAGGTACTTCAGGTGGGCAGATTGTTGAGTTGGCTTGAGCAACACAAACGACCCGAGGCGTTCACACCAGCAGGGATGCAACCGAGACCCAAACATCTATCTCACCCGAGCCATCTGCTCACTTGTTGCTGAAGACCAACGCGCGTTTATCGGCCACATGGTCCACCTGTGCAAGGGCAAAGACGTGGCTGAAGGTAATTGAGCAAATCTCGCACAGCAGGCAGCACAACCTGTATGCAGAGAGAACTCAAACATGAAATCATGTCGTCGCTTATCCCAAATCCAGTGGGCCCCCCTCAACAAACCTTCTCCAGGAGCTCATCGTACATGGTGTCACTGAATCGGCTGATGTACATTTCGAGGTACGGCCGCCAGGGGCTGAGGTCACCCAGGTAGAGTGTGATGCAAATCAGTTGCACGCTGCAACTGCTCAGTTGCTCGGTTTCTGGGTGTGCGCGCCGACGTGTACACAGCGCCAACGCACCCTCACTGCTCGCAGTTACTGAGCAGGCCACCTCCAGGAAAATTGTGCATGTATCTGACCTCACCCTAGTTTTGCCTCTTTGGTCGAGTCGATTACCTTTTCCTGGCGTCATCGCGAAGGGCAGCGCAGCATGCCGAGGTTATGATGGTGGCTCAAGGCATGTGGCAGATACCGCTATCAAGGGGGCAGGGGGGCTGCTGCTGACTGCCATGCATGAGGCGATGCATATTTGCCATCTGCGCAGTCTAGGCTTGGTGGCCTGTGTGCTCACAAAGTCGCCCGAGGGCCTCTTGGTCCCTGTCAAAGCTGCACGTTTGATGGCGTCGGCAGCCTCCTGCATCGTTGCCAGTACTCGCACGATAAAGCAACGGTACTGGGAGACAATCTTTTCGATATTTAGGGCACAAAGGAGAGTGTCGTTGCTCAGTGTAGAATGCAAAACTTGTGCGAGGGGTGACGTACCGGTTCGATAATTGAGCCCATGCAATGGTATGGCGAAAGTCGCTAAAAGGCAGTATTTTAGCGTGATGTAACATATCCCAAGCTGACAAGAAGCACACATTACCACTGATTTCTGCGTGACGGCAGCACTCTGGCGGCAGGACTCTGACAGTATGGCTGCGGAGGAGAGCCAGGTGCTCGTGCGCTTCTTTACTAAGCTACCACAGGAGCTGCAAGTTCCCGACACCGAAGTGGTGGGTACTTCCTTGGGCTTGATCCGTCGAGCTTGCTGGTGTTGCATCGCGGCCTGCTAAGTCGATTTCCTCCTGCAGGCCGTGCCTTCCTCGTTGAAGCGCTATGGATTGTCGCAAGTCATTAACCACCTGCTGGCGCTGGGTGAGCGAGTGTGTGCAGAGTTTGCCTGCACCATCACGGAGGCAGCACACCGCTGCAGGTCATGTGTGCTCTGCTTCACCATTGCACATGCAGAGCTATGTCTGCGATGCCCACAGTTCCTTAAGCCCTGCCGCATGCCCTCCTAGATCCGCCACGGCCGTTTGACTTTCTCATCGACGGGGAGCTGCTTCGCAAGTCCCTAGCCCAGCACCTGCTGGATCACGGCCTGTCGCCGGTGCGTGGAGACCCGTGAACAGCCGCCTTTCCTGCTGAGCACATGTCCACAGCTGTGTCTTGTGCATGGGCTTGCTCGAGGACAGCGCACCGTGACCCTTGCGCTGCTTTCCCCTCAGTGGTGGTACAACCCGGCTCACTGGGAAGCTCTGCAGCCTGCTAACACTGTGTGTTGGCGTGTCGCTGTGTATGCCGCCTTGATCTCAACATTGCTTGCGAAACCTTGCCGGCTGCAGGAGTCACAACTCCGGATAGAGTATGTCCCGGCAGTCGTGCCCCCTGAGGCAAAGCAGGCACTGCCTCACGATGACTGGTGCGCGACGTGCGATCCGTCTTGCGGCTGCCACCTGTTTGCAGAGTTTGCAGTCCGCGCCTGTCTCAGCTCCAGAGCACAGATCACCTAATCACGTATACCTCATCAAACAGACCGGTGTCTATGGTTTCGCAGGGTGAGCGCAGCAGCGGGCTGCTCAACGAGCAACCGCCTGGCGACGGGCTCATATGACGGGTGCGTGCGTGTCTGGGACAGGCAGGGCAGCTGCCTCGCCAGCTTCGCTGCGCACCCTGGCGGCGTCACAGCGGCGGCCTGGCTACCGGCGGCGCAGGGCTCCTTGATGCTGACAGCCGGCAAGGACGCGGCCGTGCACCTTTGGCAGCTGCCGGCGGCTGCCGGGGCCACGGGAGCGGACTCCAAAATCAAGGCAGGATTCGCGGCAGTGGACGGCCCCACGCTAGTGTCGTCCTGCCTGGGCCACAGCGACACGGTGGCAGCGCTGGCCACAAACCATGCCGGGGACCTCGCAGCAACGGGCGGGTGGGACGGCAAGCTGCTGCTGTGGCAGACAGGTGGGCGTTGATCCTCACTTGCCGTCACGAGTGCATTGTATCTAGGGGGTGTGATTGCATATCGCCAGCCTCCATATTGAACATGGCCTCCTGTTGCTGCACAGCTGTTGCTGCACAGCTGGGCATCAGTATCTTTGGCTCGCATATCTTGGCTTTGGATAGCTGCTGATCTTGCAAACCTCTGTGGTCACTGGTATGCAGGCAAGAGCGCTGTCGAGGCGGCGGATACTGCGGAGGGTGCAGATGCAGGCCGTCAAGCTGCACAGCACAGCAAGAAGAAGAGGCGCGTAGGGCAGAAGGACATAGCGGACGTGCCTGCAGCAGCACACCAGCAAGAGGCCGTGGGCAGCTTGGAGGGGCACGTTCACTGTGTTGCGGCCCTCTGCTTCACCGGCGGAGGTGGCCTTTTGGCCAGCGGGGGCTGGGACCACAGTGTGCGACTGTGGGACGTGGTCAGCGGGCGTGCAGTGGCGACATACAACGGCAGCAAGGCGGTCTACGCTGTCGCAGCAGCGCCTGTGGGCAGCAGCGGCGTGCTGGTCTTTGGCGGCGCGGACACCTGCATCAGGGTTTGGGATTCTCGCGCGCGCGGTGAGGCGCTGTCGGTCAAGGGCTATGCTGCAGGGGACTCGTGGCTTGCCGGGCTAGCTTGGCGGCCGGAGGGCGGCGGCGGCACTGGCAGCGAGCACCACGTGGCAGGTGTCTCCCATGACGGCAGCATGCGTATGTGGGACCTTCGCACATCGGTGCCCCTGGGAACGGTCAAGCAGCACGCCAACAAGGCGCTCGCTGTCACCTGGTGGGGGCCGCACACCATCGCCAGCGGTGGGGCTGACTGCAAATTGCAGCTTTATGAGCTCCTTGCCGAGCCCTGACGCTGGCGCTGGGCCGTTTCAAATGGACGAGCTTGTGCAGCGCATATACAGGGTTGTAAATCCACCACAAAATTTTGCCCTTGGTGGGCTGGGCGTTCAGAATCACAATGATTTCGACAGGAGTCAAAAGCGGCTTTTTTAAGATGCAAATTTGGGCTGCGCTCAGCCTAGAAAAGGGGCTGGGAGCTACCATGCACAAGGCGGCGGAAGCCCACAATGCTGATGATCCTTCACGTGCATCACATAACTTTTCTGGGCGTTGTCGTACGGTGACTGGGCAGCACACGCAGTGCCTGGTCATATCGCGAAGGCTGCCAGCTTTTGCTCTAAGATCCTTAGCTAGCTACTGATCCTGATTGTTGCTGGCCGAAACGGACCTTCCACACGCAGTCCACGTGGTGGTGGTGCAAACAGCTGCGCAGGAGCAGCAGCTGCCTAGCGAGCCCGCCGCTGAAAAGATTTCGGTCGAGCACGACCCAACATCCGATCGAATGCTATCACACCTTTTGGTGCATGCTTGGTATCGCTGACCTCTTATCTCTGGCTCTTGCGTGGGGCAACGTGAAGCTTTGATCTGGCAATATCGGTGCGATCGGTTGGGGACTAGGAAGCGCTGCAAAGCCATGAGCGCACCATCTGAAGCAGAGAGACGTGAGCAGGTGCTGTCAGATTACAGGAAAAAGCTCCTGAAGCACAAAGAAGTCGACACAAAAGTTCGATCGCTGCGTGAGACCGTCAAGGAGCTAAAGAAGGAGTACGACAAGACTGAGGACGATCTGAAGGCGCTGCAGAGCGTGGGGCAGATCATCGGCGAGGTGCTGCGGCAGCTGGACGAGGAGCGATGTGAGTGCGTGCGGCGCGCCGCAACAGTCGGGCTGCTGTCCTGTGCGCGCACTCTTGTCTGTCTGGCAAGCATGCGAGGCTCATTCAAACGTGGCTGCATGCATGGCTAGAATGTCAAGCGGGCATGCCTGCATGAGCTCAGAGCTGGAGCCGTTTGCGGCAGTTCACATTAGTAACGGCCACGGTCTGGCAGCTAGCGCAGCGATGACACTGCTGCTGTTGACCTTATGGGCAACCTCCCCGTGACGCAGTGAATTGTAATTGTACCTGCGTCATTGCACGAGGCCGCTGAACGCTCAATACCTGCGTTGCCACTCACCAACCTACCCGCAGTCATCGTCAAAGCCAGCAGTGGCCCCCGATATGTCGTCGGCTGCCGGAACAAAGTGGACAAGGCAAAGCTGACTGCGGGCACACGCGTCGCACTGGACATGACCACGCTCACTATCATGCGCATGCTGCCGCGCGAGGTGAGCAGTCAGACAAACGAGGCACAGGGTGGTAGAGGATGGTTGGCGCATGGTGCCGGGATGCATCAAAATTCGGTTTCATAATGACCCACAGCATCTTGCATTTAGAGCGCAAGTTTTACTTGTGATTCACATTGAAGTGTGGCTGTGCCGGCTTCTATATAGCTACCTGTAGCACACATCGTTGTGGGCTGCGTGACTACCCCCATCGACTTGGTGTTGTCGCGGCCCCTCAAGCTGCTGCAGTGGCAGGGTTAGAAACGCCTGCACCCGCGCATTGTTTCCCTCAGAGGTTGCTCCCCACTACCCCCCCTCCTTCCCCAGGTGGACCCTATGGTGTTCAACATGCTGCAGGAGGACCCCGGCAAGGTGGACTACAGCAGTATTGGAGGGCTGAGCGAGCAGATTCGCGAGCTGCGCGAGAGCATCGAGCTGCCGCTCATGAACCCGGAGCTCTTCATCCGGGTTGGCATCAACCCCCCAAAGGGCGTGCTGCTGTACGGCCCTCCGGGTACCGGCAAGACGTTGCTGGCCAAGGCAATCGCCTGCAACATCGATGCCAACTTCCTCAAGGTAGGGGCCACGGGTGGGCGTTTGATGGAAGGTTGCTTATGGGCCTTGGGGCTTTGATTGAGACCATCCTTTTTGGTAGGGCACGAAGCGGTCCCATTGCGCACAGACCTTCGGTCTCAGTTGAAACCTGTCGCTGGCCCTTACCCCCCAAGGTTGTGTCGAGCGCAATCGTGGACAAGTACATTGGCGAGAGCGCTCGTGTGATCCGCGAGATGTTTGGGTACGCGCGCGACCACCAGCCCTGTGTCATCTTTATGGATGAGATTGACGCCATTGGCGGCCGCCGCTTCAGCGAGGGCACCAGTGCAGACCGCGAAATCCAGCGCACTCTCATGGAGCTGCTGAGCCAGCTGGACGGCTTCGATGTTGTTGGAAAGGTGAGTCACATGGGCGTCGGGGATGATGTGAAAGCTGCAGGTGTGAGCTGGCTGGGGGCTTGGGGGAACATTAATACAGAGGAGTTGATCGACTGCCTGGGCGCGTGCATGCTATACCCTGTTCCAGGCAATTCAGCTCAACTGAATGACTTCTCACTTGTTCACAATGTGCGTCGGCATGTTTTACCCCCCCAGGTCAAGATGATCATGGCCACCAACCGCCCCGACGTCCTGGACCCCGCTTTGATGCGACCGGGACGGCTGGACCGCAAGATTGAGATCCCTCTGCCCAACGAGCAGGCGCGGCTGGAGATCCTCAAAATCCACAGTAGCAAGCTGGCCAAGAAGGTTGGCGAGGAGTTTGACTGGGAGGTGAGCCACAGGGTGTAGGCCCACCTTTGTGGCCGACCGCCACAGCATTCCGGGTATTTTTGGGCCACAAGCTCAGCACGTAAGCTGCGCGGGATGTAGGCCGCCGATGGCATACAAGATTCAAGACAACTGGTCGTCATACGCATGCCAGGAGGCGTGCTACTGCCATGTCCCCCAATATGCTCAACAAGCCATTTTGACCCAATCGCTAGCACTCAATAGGACCATTCCCTATTGACTCGCAGGCAATTGTGAAGCTGGGGGAGGGCTTCAACGGTGCCGACATGCGCAACATCTGCACAGAGGCGGGCCTGTTTGCGATCAGGGCTGAGCGCGACTACGTGGTGCAGGAGGACTTTATGAAGGTACGGTGACAGCACAGCGGAGAGAGGGAGGTGTGTTTGAATGCAGGCGTAGTGTACATTAAGCTAAACAATGCTCTTTGGTATTTGCTGCATTATAAGCCGCCCTTTTTTTGCCGTGGCCCCTGTCTCGACCGCCACAATTTCTCCTCACATTGCTGCTGTACACACCAGGCGGTCCGCAAGCTGGCAGACACCAAGAAGCTGGAGAGCCAACTCAACAGCGAATGGACGGACTCAAAATAGATTGTGTAATGCATTAAATATGAAGGTGACTAGGAACGCAGTGTTGCGGGCAGCGGGTATGTGCGCCGGAGGCTCCCAAGCACCCTGAGGCGCACGAGAATGATTGAGAATGATGTTGAACTTGAAAAGTTATCATGAAGCCCCCACTCAGCACACTGGGTGCCTTCTTCTGCATACAGTACTGCCAATTGAGCTCATGACATTGTCGCTCTGTCATGTGGCGGCGCATCAAGGCGCAGAACGCGCTGCACTGACAGTGACATGCATGTCAGCATATGGAGCATAGACGCTTTTCTTGACAAGCTGTGGCCCTCGACATGATAATCTGTGCTCGAATCAGATCGGCAGAGCACAAGCCTTATCTTGTTGAGCAGGGCAGGGTTGGTAGGTTCATCCCCTTGGGCATGCTGACGTCACAAGTTTGCACATGCATGACAAGGTGTCACTAGTGACACCGCCCAAGTGATACCATTCTGGGTCAAGCAGTGCACACTTTGGTACTAGGGAACCCTCTTTTGTGCTGCGGCACCATCTGGCACCAGCCAGCCTACTCACCATGACGTCATCTCGAAAAGGTGAGGTAACTTGGACAGCTGGCGGCTTGAGCGAGTCCTTCGGGGCATGCGAGGTGTACAGCGTAGATTCTCTCTCTCTCTCTCTCTCTGGACAGCTGGATGCTCAGTGGTTGCTGCAGCACTGGCTGCAGTGTCCAGCCACCTTACACTGCTCCCTTGGTCACTGCAGTCACCCAGATGACATGACCATGGCTCCTGGCGACTGTGAAAACACACCAGTCACAGAACGCATGTTGTCACCAGTTGGGTGCCCACCCATTGGCTGCTGACTGCCTTGCTCTTGCTGCTGACTCGCTTGGCTGCTGGTGGCTGCTGAGTTATGTCGGCTGCAGACGCTCGTCCTGTCACGCCTCGAGCAGAGTCTGGTGTGTGTGTGTGTGTGTGTGTGTGTGTGTGTGTGTGTGTGTGTGTGTATGTATGTGTGTGTGTGACTCGTCCAATGGATGTCAGGGTGGGGGCAGCATGGTGTAGGGCTGCACCAACACCCCCCACTTGTGTTTGTCCCATCATGAGTGGCATGATGGTACGACACTGCCCCCAGCCAACCAGCACTTCCCCCACGCTTGTGTCTGCTTGTGGCAGGGCTGCACGCTGTCTCCAGCCCCGAGAGCCACAGCCGAGGTTTGTGCAGGCTGGTCAGCAGCCTGACCTGGGGTGCCAAGTGCTGCATCCGACAGATTCGCCAAAGGCAGTGCAGCACCCCTACACCCACGCACCCCCACACCCCAAGGAATGCAGCCAAGGTGGAAGCTGCACAGTCACCACACACGTGCTGAGCGCTGCTGCTGATGTCACCATGACTCACCAAAAGAATGAGGCAGGCTGCTGGCACCAGCTGTCAACTCCTGGCTGACTGCTGGATTTGCCCATGGCAGCAGTGCAGCACTGCTGAGCAGCAGCTGTCAACCCCTTGGCTGATGATGATGGCTGCAGGATTTGCCTAAGGCAGTGCAGCACTCGAGCTGCAGCCTTGGCCTCACACCTGCAGGGTGGAAGCTGAAGGGTCATGACCACCAATATTATAACTGCCTCTGACATCACCATGACTCATCAAAAGAGTGAGGGAGGCTGCTGTAGGGGTCAGGGTGCATCATGGGGAGCATGATGTGCCAAGGAAAGCGCCCAAAAGTTGCTGTAACCGTTTCTGAAACCGATTTAGAACGCTTCATTACACCCCAAAACATGCAGGCAGCACTTTAGACCGACTGGATCCGAGCAGTGTGGGGTCAGTTATGAAGGTTTGACCAAACTGATGTATAGCTAGTTGGGCAGGTTAGGGTATGTGGGTTCACCCCCTTGGAGTCATGCTGACGTCACCACTTCACACCCACGTGGTCAGGGGTCACTAGTGACACCGCACGAGTGACACCAAGCTGAGTCAAGGCGTGCACACCTGAGAACTGCTGCACCTGCACTTGTGCTGTGGCACCAGCCGCACCAGCCAGCCCTTGATGAGGTGGATCCAGCCAGCTGCGGAACCCCTTAGTCATGGGTTACTGGTGGTGACATCACCTTAGGATGGGTCATCACTCACCATGACTTCATGCCACAAAGAGTGAGGGGCCCTTGACAGCTGCATGCTCAGTGGTTGCTGCAGCACTGGGCTGGAGTGCACAACACCTTGAGGGCGACCCAAACCACCTCCAGGCGCTGAGCGCGCAGCACACTTCTCGCCACCACCGCGCAGGGAGGATAATCCTTGCAGCGATAGAGGCTGGCGCGATGGGCGGCCGCATTATGTGTGCAGACCTGGGGCTGACCTAGGGATACCAAAAGAGAAACACAAGACCCTGCTCGAGCACCTCAACCTGCACGCTGTAAAGAGCATGACAGCTGTCTGGGGCCGCCGAAAGCAACTGCTGCATGCAACCAATTGCCAGCCGTCGAGGCCGCGTCAAGGGCGCGGCGTCACGTGAACATGCCCTGAGTCTCCACGGTGGGGGGTGTGGCTCACCACACACACCCCTCTCCTTAACCCGACGCGGCGCCGCTTGCAGCA